TCATGCTTTGTGTGTACCAAACCTGATACTCTTTATTTAAAATGGATGTGCATGACTCAATTGAGTTTTTGGTGTCCAAGACATAAGGACAATTATATCACATATTGAATATGTTTCTCCTTATTTGACAAAATCTAACATATAATCTCTTGATTAGGCTCATATAAGAGAATTTGTTATCTCTTGTTGGCAAATAATTATTTGCTATAGGCCACTGGAAACATGGTTTTGTTAGGTTGCACCTGTTGTTGCTAAACTTTAACTTGTTCTTGTTATAACAATTACATGATATGAGCCAAAATGTTGTGATATAGCTCACACCCTACGTTTTAAGAGAGATTATAGCTTCAATTTTTAGATATAGCATTGCCCAGAAGGTGACAAGTCATATCACTAATTAGAATATAACAACACTAGGACAATCTCTTAATGAAAATTGACTTGGTATTTATTTAGAAGTCAATTGATTATTTGTCCAAGTTTAAGCTTATTTATGGTGTGCGCTAGTCTTTATTTTAGAAATCTATTTATGAGTCTAAGACATTGACATAAATCTCAAATCTGAATATCCAAACAAGATAATAGTGCCTAATTTTTAATATAATTTTGCCCAGAAGGTAAACACTAAGAGCACTAATTTTTATTTGTCACCTTTTGGTCTAAACCCACAGTTATGAATATTTGATCGAAAAAGATTCATAGAGCCTAAGTTGATCCCTGAAGGATCGTATGATCCTACGATCAATAAATTATTGTTATCCATTAATGTATAAAATGGACGCATGATCTGAGAAGTTAATTCTCGTGGGTCACCCGGAATTATTTGACAATTCAGAGTTTACTTCTCTATGTTTAATTTTCTGGACGGGTTTTACTTCCCGGATGGTACTTTTCGGATGGTACATGAATCCGTTGCACCATAGTATAATTACATAACTAAAATTATTTTAAAATAGTGTGGATGAAGTTACGAGGAAAGAATTGATTGATTGAAACTGTAAAACCAAGAGTCCTAAAACAAGAGAACTCTAAAGAGCTTCCTAAACTCTAGGCTATGTACAAGCAAGACTCAGCACAACCACATAATAATATTAAGACTCTAATACTCCCCCTCAAGCACAAGGTGGATGAGAAGCAACATTGAGCTTGTCCCGAAGCGCTGCAAAGCGTGGTCCCGGAAGGGGCTTCGTGAAGATATCCGCAAGCTGGTCTTTGGTGGAGACAAAGTTGACCAGGAACTCGCCAGAAGTCACTTTATCCCGAACAAAGTGGAAGTCGATTTCTACGTGTTTTGTGCGGGCATGGAACACCGGATTAGCACATAAGTAGGTGGCCCCGAGATTGTCACACCATAGGGTGGGTGGTACGCCGGAGTGGAGGCCCAGCTCACGTAGAAGAGAGGCAATCCACGTGACTTCTGCAGCAACATCGGCGAGACCCTTGTATTCTGCCTCTGTTGACGAGCGCGCCACCGTCCGTTGCTTGTGCGAGACCCAAGAGACCAGGTTGGTCCCTAGAAACACTGCATACCCGCTGGTGGACTTGCGATCTATAGGACAACCCGCCCAATCTGAATCTGAGTAGGCGTGAATATCTGCTGAGACCGAGGTAGTCAGGCGAAGACCATGTGTAGCCGTACCCTTGACATACCGGAGGACACGTTTCAGAAGGGCCCAATGGTCAGCAGTTGGTGTATGCATGAATTGAGACAGGCGATTGACAGCGTAGGAGAGATCCGGACGTGTTATTGTCAGGTACTGGAGCGCTCCAACTAGGCGGCGATACTGAGTGGGGTTGTCAAAGTCCTCTGTGGACGATGTTACAGGCTGTGTAAGAGCAGCTGGAGTAGCCAGAGGCTTGCAGTCAGTCATGCCTGCGCGTTTCAGGAGATCACTCATATAATGCCGTTGAGACAGCAGAAGCCCGCCTTCTATCGGAATGGTCTCAATGCCCAAAAAGAAGCTTGGTACGCCGAGATCTCAGATCTTGAACGTGGTACTCAAGCGGTGTAACACTGTGTTGATGAGAGCAGCGTCATCGCCCATAAGGATGATATCATCCACGTAGACAAGTAAGAAGACCCGTGACGTCGCAGTGGTGTAGTGGAACAGAGATATGTCTGTCTTTGACGACTTGAATCCTGTAGAGATTAGAAAATCATACAGACGCTTGAACCAGGCTCGTGGTGCCTGTTTCAAGCCATATAGAGATCGCCGCAGGTGGCACACATGATCCGGATGTAGAGGATCTTCATAGCCCGGTGGCTGCCGCATGTACACGGTTTCAGCCAAGCGCCCATTTAAAAAGGCGTTATGGACGTCGAGTTGGCGGAGGGTCCAGTTGCGTGACACGGCGAAGGACAGAAGCAAGCGTACTGTAGTCGGTTTGACCACAGGACTGTATGTATCAAAAAAGTCCTCTCCGGCGACTTGATTCAAACCTTTGGCTACCAAGCGCGCCTTGTAGCGTTCTATGGTGCCGTCTGCCTTGCGTTTGGTGCGATACACCCACTTACACCCGATTACATTCATGTCTGGTCGAGCCGGGACAAGTTGCCAGGTCTCGTTGTGAATCAGGGCGTTGAACTCTTGGTCCATTGCCTCTCGCCATTGTGAGTGCCCACGGCCTGCGAATAGCAAGTTGGATCCACAGACGCCGTGAGGGCTTGAAACTGTTCATCTGCACCCCTTGTCATACGCCGTAGCCGCATGACATGGCCATGCTCTTGCGGTTGCTGTGGTTGTTGTGGTTGCGGGGGGTTCTTCCTTGGGCGACCACGGCCGCGCTTGGGTGCAGCTGGTGGTGCCTCAATGGCTAAGGGAAGATGATCAACATCCAAGGGTGTAGCTGGCGGTGTGGAAGGTCCAGCTTGTGACACAATAGGACCAGAAGCCCATGGTATATTGGCTTGGTGCACGACTTTTGGATTACCTGTACTTGTGGCAAAAGGAAATATATTTTCATCAAAATGGACATGCCTACAAATAAAGGTTTTTCCTGTGCTGAGGTCCATGCATCTGTAACCTCTAAAGGACGGGGGGTACCCTAGGAAGACACATGGGGTTGACCGAAACTCAATTTTGTGTTTGTTGTATGGGTGTAGGTAGGGAAAGCAACGACACCCATAGACTCTTAGGAAAGTGTATGAAGGTGTGGTTTTGTATAGTCGGTAGTGAGGGCTTTCAAACTTGAGTGTGGAGCATGGTAGCCGATTGATTAGATAAGTGGTTGTTTCAAAGGCTGAGTCCCAGTGTTTAGTAGGAACAGACCCTTCGGCTAATAAAGCGAGACCCGTCTCGACAATGTGCCGATTGCGACGTTCTACGCGCCCATTTTGCTCGTGGGTATAGGCACACGATTGGCGATGTACTATACCCAACGACTCAAAGACATTGTGCAGACGGCGATATTCACCGCCTAAATCTGACTGTATTGCCTTGATAGAACGTGAGAACTGACGTTCTACCATGACACGAAAAGAATGAAAAACAGTATAAATATCTGATTTTAGCCGAAGTGGGTAAAACCAGCAGAATCGTGAATAATCATCCACGAATAAAACGAAATACTTGAAGCCGTTCACCGAAATAACAGGTGACGGCCCCCAAATGTCCGTGTATACAAGGTCCAGTACATTATTTGAAATAAAAGAAACCCTGTCTAATGGGAATCGGGAAGATTTGCCGAGTTGGCAAGCGGAACATAATTCAGACGAACTGGAACGACTTGTGGTGACTGGACATTGTGGTAGTATTTTCTGGAGCACTTTTGAGTGTGGATGACCCAACCGCCGATGCCAAATATTGGGAGATGCCCGGGAACTCAGGAAAGCAACGTGAGACCGCGGAATTGACAGTTTGTACAGGCCATCCGTACTGGGACCCTTAAGAAGTACCTCCTTGGTAATTGAATCCTTAACAACAAAATAAGTATTGTGAAATTCAAAGAACACTGCATTATCACTTGTAAAACGATGAACAGAAAGAAGGGGAACAGACAGTTTCGGGACATGCAGAATATTTGAGAGTTTTAAATTTTTAGAAACCGACGGAATAGATGCATGTCCAACAGAGGAAATTCCCAAACCTGTACCGTTTCCAACCCGAAGGACATCGCCTCCGGTGTACTCCTCGGCCTGGCCGATCATCCCGGAATCCGGTGTGGCGTGTGCAGTTGCACCGGTGTCCGGGAACCACGTCTCCGACGCAGAACCTGCCCCGTCGTCTCCGGTGGTTGCAACGTGGGCCTGCGGTGGTGCCGGCGGCTGAGTGTTGTATCTCTTGGAGCAATACACGGCGGTATGCCCATGACACCTGCATATTTGACAGCGAGGGGAACCACCACCACCGCCGCGATTCTGCCCCCGGCCGCCGCGTCCTCTGTTCTGCCCGCGGCCGCGATGCTGCCCACGGCCACCGCCATTGCTGTTCTGCTGGCGGTTCTGGCCCTGCCCGGCGTACATGGCGACTGGAGAGGAGTTCCGATGCTGATCGACCGGGAGGAACTCATCTGCGTAGATGAACTCCTGCGCCTGGAGGAAGTCCGCGAGTTGAGGGATGGTCACCGGCGATCCCGTAACCGTGAGAGACGCCGCCACCGCTCTGAATTCCGGCCTCAATCCCCTGAACACATATAAATTTTGTTCATCGAGGGACATAGGCCTACCTACTTGCGAAAGTTGTTCGACGAGAAGCTGCGCACGACCCAAGTACTCGGTCGCCGAACTGTCTCCTTGTCGGAGAGATTGGAATTGACCGAGAAGGTTTAGACACCGGGCACGCGTCGATGAGCCAAGCGCGGCAGTGATGGACAGCCACACGTCCCTGGAAGTCGCACGGCCAACCGCCAAATGCATGCATTCATCCGAGAGAGAGGAGACGAGGAGACTGAGGATCGATTGATCCTGTTGTGTCCATTGTGCGTGAGCCGGATTCGGGAGCGGTGATGGAGACGTGCTGCCGGAGCCATCACCGGAGGGGGCCGCTGCAATGGTGGCGGGTGGACATGGAATGTCACCCTCAACGTAACCGATGAACCCTTGCCCACGTAGGAACGGTATGATTTGTGTGCGCCAAAACAAAAAATTTCGGTTTGTAAGTTTTAGGGAGATGAAGTGGTGAGCGGATGTTAAGTGGTTTGTGGTGATCGGGGAGGGAAGATTGGCAGCACTGTTCGTACGTTCTGATGAATGTGTCGACATGGCTTTAGGATCGGTAAGAATTAGGCTGATACCAGATGAAGTTACGAGGAAAGAATTGATTGATTGAAACTGTAAAACCAAGAGTCCTAAAACAAGAGAACTCTAAAGAGCTTCCTAAACTCTAGGCTATGTATAAGCAAGACTCAGCACAACCACATAATAATATTAAGACTCTAATAGTGTGGGTCTCATTGTCATATGGGATAGTCACCTTGTACTCCTGTAGTAGTACATGACCAGATTATAATAAGTATTTTGAATGTCATTGATTTTTTTTAAAAGACATCAAAATTTTAGTTTTTGTAGGAATGTACTTTATGAGTTCCAAGCCTTTCCTACTTGGCAATGTGCTTGGTCATGGGACCGGTTTTAATAAAGGTCTAGAAGACCTCTAATGAGATTGATTTTTGGATGACTAATGACTCGTGAAAAGTCTTAAATTTCTATCTTTAGTGCTATGTTATTCAATCCAAAATATTTTATGATCATGTCACAAAGTAATACATGATATAGTTATTTAAGATGCTATGTGTTTACCAAGACTATGTGGTCTAATGGTACCCAGGTTGGACTTCCATTTGGAAGGTTGTGAGTTTGAGCCTCAGTGGAGGTGTCTTTGTGTTTCAGTAGGTTGAGAAAGTATATGAACAGGTACTACAATGTAATAGAGCCAGTAGCATTCAAAAAAAAAAATTATATTTGATGACGATGACTTCTCATACGTTTATAAAATGAATAAAAAAATTACGTCATAATAATTTGCCTAAAGCATATTAGTTGTATATATTTAAAAAATTACGTCATAATAATTTGCCTAAAGCATATTAGTTGTATATATGCATATTAGTTGTATATATTTGATGATGATGACTTCTCATACGTTTATAAAATGAATTTCTGAGATCCTGAATGGTCTCACCATCTATACATCTATTTGGTGTTTAATAAATTATGTCATAATAATATAATTTGCCTAAAGCATATTAGTTGTATATATTTGATGACGATGAGTTCTCATACGTTTATAAAATGAATTTCTGAGATCCTGAATGGTCTCACCATCTATACATCTATTTGGCGTTTAATAAATTAGGTCATAATAATTTGCCTAAAGCATATTAGTTGTATATATTTGATGACGATGACTTCTCATACGTTTATAAAATGAAGGAATAAGGTTCAAATTGGCCACTGAACGTAATATGAAAATGCAATTAGGCCACTGAACGAAAAAAAAAGTGCAATTAGGCCATTGAACACTCAAAAAATGTGCAATTAGGCCACTGAACTCTCCAAACGTATGCAATTTTACCGGATAGCAGGTTACTATCAATTTTAGCAGGTTACCTGCTTACGTGGCAGCTTAGTTGACATTTTTAATAAATTTTAAATAATTTTTAATAATTAATTTTAATAATAGATTTTATAAAAAATTGGAAAAAATTAAATAAAAAATAAAATAAAGTCGTTTTTATTTTTTAAAAAAATTTTTAAATAAAAAGTTATTATTAAAATTTATTAAAAATTAATTAAAATTTATTAAAAATGCCAACTCAGCTGCCACGTAAGCAGATAACCTGCTAAAATTGAGGGTAACCTGCTATCAGGTGAAATTGCACATTTTTGGAGTGTTCAGTGGCCTAATTGCACTTCTTTTTTTTTTTCGTTCAGTGGCCTAATTGCATTTTCAGGTTACGTTCAATGGCCAATTTGAACGTTATTCCTAAAATGAATTTCTGAGATCCTGAATGGTCTCACCATCTATACATCTATTTGGCGTTTAACCTACTTAAGATGGTTGTGTACTCGTATAATTTCATTTAATTAATATGTATGCTTTCTCTATTTGGACATATATGATTGCGTATACTTTTGAGTACTTATATGTTGCAATTCTTTTAAAATTGTAAAGACCCATATTCTTTTAAATTATGACATGAACAATTAGGTCATTTAGGGCAAACATAATGAGTCAGATATTGGAATTTCTTACCCATATATGAGAAAATTATAAAGCATGTGTGAATGAGAAATTACCAAATTATTTATTTTTGGAGATATTTGTATTAATTCAAATCTGACTCACTACATATCGTAATCATTCCCCCATACACATAGTACTGGTAGAATTGAATATTTCCCAATCTGCGTTTCTATTCTTTGTATGCAGTTCATTTTATTGTATCACCACCTCAGCGTATCTCTGTGGGCTATAAATCTTCGTCTGTTGTTTAAATACCTAGAGTCCATTATAGGGGATCAATAGATACGCTGACTGCATACATCATGAAGATCATTTTCACGGCATTAGGGGGAGATGAGCCCAAATTTAATGAAATGCCGAGAAGTTCCATGCAATGGGAAGATCTTCATTAGTTAAGAAATCCACGTACTAGTTAGATTGAACTAGAAGTTCAAAAGATAGTCTATATATTTGCGACTTTAGCAAATAATCTTCCAAACATATCTATTGATCATAGTGATCATAAAAGAATGACTAGGTCCATATACTTTTCCTAACTTGGACCAAATATATCTACCGATACTCCTTGACACTAGAAATATAGGAAATCTGTTGGTGAAAAGAGATAAGAATCATAATACTAGATCTAGTAAATAAACATTGTCACTCTTGGAAAAACTTGAATAATTTTGTCTTGGAGACGTTCGTCCAGATGACGAGAAACCCTAGTCAATTCATAGGTGTACCAAACAAACATAATACTAGGGATGCGGGACAACCAGATGTGATTTGAATAGTTGTGGAAAATGTCTAGAATCTGGTTGACTTAAATATTGCCATGAACAATTATAAATATGGGAGAAATTTTTAGAAAATGATATAAGTTGTCGACAACACAATTGCCTTCAAATTGCTCATATTATATGACAATCTGGATCCAGAACTAGGTGCCAGAAGTGCCTAGATTGATTAACGTATAAAGAGAGCAATTAAAGGCATATACAGCTCAACTCGCTAATATATTCCTTTCGTACACCATTGAGGTATTAACCATGTAGGTTACAAATGGTGTGGAATGAAAACAAGAATAACGAGGTGATAAGATATGAAGCGAGTTTTTAGCCTTATGGGTTCACGCAGAGACCCTTGATTGATTTTAATCAAATATACTCTCCCATGGTAAATGACATTAAGTTCCGCTACATAATATTATTGGCAGAATAATAAACTTAGATATGCAACTAATATTAATTTCAAAAGTCCCCGAAGGATTTTAAGTTCTCAAAATGAGAAAAAAAAAGTGAAAATCGCAACAGTAAAATATTAAGGTCTTTATTTGACCTGAAATAATTAAGAATTGGCTGAGTATTTTCCTCTCGAAGAAGGAATGTGTATTTATGTGTCATTATTTACTCTTTAAAGAGTTGCGAATGGAGTTATTATCCTCATTAAGAAGGAATAATATGTACCATTATATGCTCGATAAAAGGTTGATAATGAAATTATTTATTATTTATTATCTCAGACAATATTTATAGTGTAAACATCAATGGAATATCTAAAGAGCTTGATGATGGAATATCTAAAGAGCTTGATGATGTCAGCCCATATCTAAAGACAGAGTTTTTGAAATAAAAGCTTGGGAAAGCTAAGTATTATCTCGACTTGAAGATCGAGTTTTTCCTTGAAGAAATTCATCTAGTAGGTATTTTTTGTTGTGTTATGAACTTATGATACCTTTACGCATAAAAAGAAAGGCATTGCACCAGTATTTTCATAGTTTCTATGCCTCATTTCATTCGTCCTTGAAGTCTATGATTCTTTCATTGGTATTAGTATTTGAAATGTGCCTCACTGATCTTACAGAGGCAACTGTTGAGGTTTTGCCTTTAAGATAAAGTATGAAAGTGGTACATTGGAGGAGTTGCTCTATGTTGATATGCCTTGTGAGTATCAGAATTCTTCTGGGCAAATTGTCCTGGACTATGCAAAAGCAATTCAGGAGAGCGTCTTTGAACAACTTCGTGTTGTCCGTGATGGTCAGCTTCGAGTAGTCTTCTCACCAGATCTGAAGGTTACACATGGAGCTTTTAGCTTTACTTATAAATACTTTTACTTATCAAGAACTATTTATATACCAAATGGACCTTGATATCTGTCTTGTTATTTTTTCCTCCCCTACCTTGAAAAGAGAAGATACCTGCACTAAATAATAACAATCTTGCATTTTTCGTGAAATTTATAGATTGTCTCTTGGGAGTTCTGTGCTCGCCGTCATGAGGAGCTTATCCCTAGAAGATTATTGATACCTCAGGTTCAGAATGATGATTAGTTTTTGGCTACTGTTGATACCTCATCTGGCCTGGGAAATTTTCTGTTTAATTCTTCTCACTGAGTTTTGTGCTTATCTTTTACTATGTATGTTGCAGTACTAGTACCAATGTGTGGTGTTATTTTATTTTATTTTGGCAAAAGTGTCAAATCCCACCATGAACCAATTGCGATTCTTCATGCCGCATCCTGACCTTTCATATATGCTGTTTCGATGCATAAACCATCAAATTTTGTTCGTCTAGACTTTTTAGCAGGTTGCCATCAAGTTACCCATTATAATATGCTGATGTGGAGGTATTTTTTTATTGACTTATTTAAATATGTATTAAAAATATGACATGGCATTTTTTTTTTTTTTACTTTCTCAATATATTTTTTTTCTCTCCATTGTTCTCCGACTGATATGTTTTCATGTCTCATCTCGGACTCCCGTTCCCTCTTGACGGCGACGTCGAGGGAGGGCGGACCTCTTTTGCCGATGAAACTGGGATTTTCGACTCGTCGAAAGTTGGATGGTCGCAGCGGTTTCCGGCGTTCCCGGTGGGTTTTACGTCGCCGCTAAGGTTTTTCCTGTATTTGGTGTCTGAACGACAACGTTACTTGTTTCTTGAAATGCTTTTACCGGTGGTCATCTGAGATTATGAACGAAGGAAGTCCGACGGTCACCTCTGTTGGAAAAAGTTCTTGGACGTTTTCAATCGTGATTTGCCGTGCGTAAGGTTAGCGTTGACTTCGCTACTCCCTTGGTGGTTAACCTGGGTTATCAGACCCCCCTCCCCCCCCCCCTACGCGGCTTTGGATTCCGACGTCGTGTAAGGTTAGTAAACGCCATTATCTCTTCCTCTTACTACGTTTCTCAATCGCCCACAAGTCCACAACAGGAGAAAAACCAATCGCAGGAAGAAGAGTAGGTCGTCGGTCACTGCCGCTGCTCCTTCACTTAAAGAATCGTCGTCAACGTCCAATGCAAAGCTAGGGACACTACAAGCATCGCTGCCTCCAGCCGGAAAAGAACCCAAGGCGGATGAAAATTTGTAACAGGTTTCAACTTTCGACGTCGGACGGCCAGCAAGAGACGACGACGGAGTGTTACCTGAGTGAACCCGAGAAATGGGTTTACCACCACGCCGGAGATTTTGTCGTGTCGGATTCTTGGAAAAAGATAGATGAAATTGAAAATTTCCACGACTCAGATTGATTGCACGCACACGAAAGGAAGCCTTTATGTAGACTCTCTTCTTGTTTGCCCTGCCGAGTATAAACCCAGGTTAAATTAAAGCGTTTGTGAAGTTTGAGGTTAGCATTTCTTTTATGTGTGCCATGGCCTAAACCTGTGTATTTTATGGGACTTCTCGGCTGTTTGGTTCAGTTTTCTATTCTCAGAATAGTAGAATAGTTTCTGAAAATCATGAAGAACAATTAACTTTAAGTAACATAAAAACAGTACTATGTAATGTTGTCTCTGTCATTCTGGTAACGCTAGGGCGGTACCTCTGGGTTTTGAGATTGGTCGGCCGGATGCATAATGAAGGTGGCGAAAATTCGGGGCGATTTACAGAGGAGCTCAGTGTTGAAGATCAGTTGGATAGCCTTCAGTCTACATCAGCACATAGACCTTGAAATGAGTGTTGAATCTTAAAAATAAGTCCACATCAACACATAATTGTTGCCATGTCATCAAGGTAACCTGGAAACCTGCTAAAAAGTCTAGACGAACAAAATTTGATGGTTTGTGCATCGAAACAGCATATATGAAAGGTTAGGGTGCGGCATGAAGAATCGCAATTGGTTCATGGTGCGATTTGACACTTTTGCCTTTTATTTTTTAATTAGTTCTAAATTTTGGAAGACTACCCTTTCAAACTAGTAAATTCATAGTTTTGAATTGAGTCTCATCTGGTTGGTATTTCTCTTTAATTGCTATTTTTCAAGACTATGATTTGAAATTAAGTTAAAATAGTTAAAATCATTTCAGTTTCAAATTGGATGTCATGTTTCTACTCAGGTCAAATTGATTTGCATTTTTCTTAGACGGAAAGTGTATTCATATTCCACTGGTTATTAATGAAGCTAGAATTTAAAAGGGTCCTGTTATTACTCTTCCCAACGTCTAATTAAGTAAAAGGTAATCAATCATACCATATTGAAGTTTTTACCTAATAAGCTAAGTTGTACCTAAAATTCAAGTGGGATATACATGCAATTCCATGAACTCCTGGACATCTTAGTGTATGAGTTTGACAGTTCTTGCCTGAAGCTATGATGAACCTTGAAATTCAGTGCTTCAAATTTGTTAGGTTGGGGAATTGTAAATTCTAAAGCTCTTGGCTGGTTATATACTTATATTGACTAAAACAGATAATAATTTCATGCAAGTCTGATGGACTACAGAATATGTATAATTTTTATTGTGTTCTTTGCAGGTCAGTCAACTTGGAGCTGCGACTCAAAAATATCAGACTGCCACTCAAAATGCATCATCTAATGTATCTGTTTCTGAGTTACAAAATAATTGCAATCTGTGAGTTCCATGTAAGCACATTGATCCACGTAGAGCATACTATATACGTGGCAATAAATAAAAGTTAGGTCCACTAACCTCCAGCCATAGCTTATGTTCTTGATAGAACCTTGATCGCCTGGACTCGTAGTCTGACGGGCCGGAGTTCCTCGGGCTGCTATAAAATCACCGTAGATTTGGTTGTGTTTCTCTCGCTTCTCTCAGTGACTCTGGATGGTGTATGATACGTCAACTGAGCAGTGAGAGGACTTGGGAGTCTAAATAACCTACATCCCATCAATGTAGGTAACTAATTACCTAATGCTGACTAAGTTCTAATACTTAGTCAACCTATTGATTTGCACCACTTATTTAATATTATTATTGTTATAATAATCTTAATAATAACAATAATAATAATATTAAAGGGAAAACGTTACATTCTCCCACTCGGTGCAAATACGGAACCCAAGAACAAGATTTACACCAACCATAATGATATGTCCTCCTTAGCACAAGTAATATCCATTATGATCAAATGCAAATTGTCTTTGAGTACTTTAGGTAATCAAACTTAATGAAACAAACCATATGTTCATTTCAATTCCACTGAAGTATATTTTCTTATTGAGATAAAACTGAGTTGTGCACACACAAAGAAAATATCTGAAGTATCTGAAGAAAAACTGAAGTGCAAAAGAATTTCATTATTAAACTGAATGTATTTACAAAATTACAAAGTGGACGAAAGTCCCATTTTCTGAATCAGATCCTTGAATTTAGACGGAAGCACGCCTTTAGTCAAGGGATCTGCTAGCATCAACTCAGTATTAATGTGTTCAATGAATACAACTTCTTTATTCTTGACACGCTCCCTAATGGCTAAGAACTTGATGTCGATGTGTTTACTTTGACTCCCGCATTTTTCGTTCTTAGCTAGGAAGACTGCAGCTAAGTTGTCACAGTAAACTTTCAATGGCTTAGATATAGAATCCACAATTCTAAGCCCGGAGATGAAATTCTTGAGCCACACACCTTGCGAAGTAGCCTCGAAACAGGACACGAACTCGGCTTCCATGGTAGAAGTAGTTATTAAGGATTGTTTAACACTTCTCCATGAAATAGCCCCACCAGCCAATATGAAGACGTACCCGGAAGTTGATCTCCGAGAATCAACACAGCCAGTGAAGTCCGCATCAGAATAACCAACAACATCCAGGATGTCCGTCTGCCTAAAACCCAACTTGAAGTCTTTAGTACCTTTGAGATACCTCAGAACTCTCTTCACAGCTCCCCAGTGGTCCATGCCTAGATTATGCAAGTACCACCCTAATATACCAACGGCAAAGGCAATGTCGGGCCTTGTACAAACTTGAATATAGCCAAGACATCCAACTGCTTCAGCATATGGAGTATCCTTCATACGCTCCTTCTCCAAGTCGTTCTTAGGACATTGATCCAAACTAAACTTATCCCCTTTTGCAATGGGAGAAACATTCGGTAAATAATTTTTCATCCGAAATCTTTCCAAAACTTTGTTAATATAGGTTTCCTGCGATAAACCCAGTATGCCCTGGGACCTATCCCTATGAATTTTTATGCCAATGACATAAGATGCTTCACCCATATCTTTCATATCAAAATTTTTGGAAAAGAACTGTTTCACGCCGCGAAGCATCCCCACCTCATTAGTGGCGAGTAGGATAGCATCCACATATAAAACAAGGTAACAAATTTTACTCCCACTAACTTTCTGGTATATACAAGGATCTAAGGGACTTTCAACAAAATCAAATGATGAAATGACCACGTCAAACTTAATATACCACTGACGAGAGGCTTATTTTAAACCGTATATGGACTTCCTAAGCCTACACACCAAATCCTCACCACCTCTAGAAGAGAAACCTTCAGGTTGTTTCATATAAACTTCCTCTTCTAGATCACCATTTAGGAACGCGGTTTTCACATCCATTTGTTGCAACTCAAGATTAAAGTGTGCAACTAAAGCCAGAATGATTCGAAGAGAATCTTTCTTTGATATAGAAGAAAAGGTCTCCTTGTAATTAATTCCTTCTTTTTGAGTAAATCCCTTAGCAACGAGTCTGGCCTTGTACCTCTCAATGTTACCTAATGAGTCTCTTTTGGTTTTAAATACCCATTTATAGCCAATCGGCTTGGCCCCATTAGGTAACTCAACAAGGTTCCAAACTCCATTACTCTTCATGGAATTCATTTCATCTTTCATGGCTTCTAACCACAAATCGGACTGTGCACAATTCGTAGCTTGTGAAAACCTTACGGGATCATTTTCAGCTCAAATGTTAGATTCTTGTAGATACGATACATAATAGCTAGGAACTGCTGAACGCCTCACCCGAGTAGACCGTCTTAATGTTGGGACACCAGTACCTTGTGAAGGTTGTGGCGCAACTACCTCTTCAGGAACTGGATGTAGTTCTTGAATTGGTTCAATTTTGGTCTGTGTGGGTTCAAGATCTTGCTGAAAAACCTGAATTGGTTCAACCATTGGCTCGAAGTCTAGTTCAGGAGGTTGCTGTAAGTCCTGAACTTGTTCTTCCAATGGTTGATTTTCAACAGCTTGTGGAATCTCAACAATGGGTTGCACAACCGCAGGCGGGACTGAAGGCGCGTTGCGTATAAGTACAACTCCGTTAGATGACGTTGAAGGGCAAGAGTCAACATGATCAAATAAAGGAACTAAGTCCTTAAATCGATCTCTCCCACTGATCAAGTCATCTTCAAGAAACTTAGCATTTCTCGATTCCACTATCCTAGTCGTATGTTTTGGACAATAAAACCTATAACCCTTAGAAGACTGTGCATGTGACACCCCAAAAATCTAAATTCAATTCATGGATTAATTGAGTAATTAATCCTATTTCAATTGAGGAATTAATTTCTAAAATCCTGAAATTTAATAGTTGGGGACTAGTATTTGACTAGTCAACTCCAAAGTCAAGTTGTACCTTGAGCTTTGAAGGGAGTTCCCTTGTTCCTTAAACTTTCTAAAGTTAGTAAGGGTATTCTTGACCTTTCACCAAGTGTTAGTATTGTAACCTAACCCAGAAGACATCTTCATTTCACCCCTTACACTTTCTAAAATATTAGCTCTACCTTCTCTCTAGAAAGGTGAGTAGCTTTTCCTTCAAGCTAAGTTGAGACCTTGTCAAGACTTCAAGATTTGCTTCCAAGATTCAACCTTTCACCTATTTGGGCATCTAGGAGGGTAAGATCTAAGTCCATCTTGTGTTTTTGGTTCCATCTTAGATGTCTTTTTCTTAAAAGTAGGAGCTTTATGATCTCTTGGTTTGTTCTTGAAGTGGGTTTGGAAAGTGAGCCTTGTGGAGAGCTTGTTGAGGTGTAAAGTGAAGTCTTTTAGTCTACAAGATGTAACCCATGCTCTACAAAACCTATTTTGCTTACCTATATGTGATTTCTTGGATTCTACATGTGTTTTGCTATGAAATGTGAGTGTTTATGCATTTGTCTTGTGAAAATGCATATCTAGAGCTTGTGTTTAGGGTTCTTGTATGCCATTGCTTGGCTATTCCTTTGATTCAAGTCATTTTGTTGTATTGGGTGAGATTTGGCATGTTTTGGACTTGAATTTGTGTTTGGAGACAAAAATCCGCGAAGTGTGTTGTTGTGGTACAGGATTGTACCCGCGGGCGGAACGGCGGGCGGGGCACCACCCGTCGCCCCACCCGCGGGTACGGGCCTTGTGGGAATATGTTCCCGCGGGCGGAACCACGGGTGCGGCGCTACCCGTGGGTCCACCCGCGGGGAACACTTCGGTGTTATGATGGGATTTGTTCCCCGTGATTTTTTTGACTCGGTATTCGGTCTTTGGACTTCCCGTTGTTCTTTTGTGGAACTATTTGAGTGTCTTCTTGATGTTTCGTATGTCTAGAACTATGTGTTAGGTATCCATGTAGGTCTTTGGTGTCTTGAATCGTGCTAAGTGTTCAACATTGTGATTCGTTGAACCGTGATGTGTCTTGTGTGTTCTTCGGAACTACCTTTGGTTTATCCGTTTGATAAGAATGCTAGTTTGGCGTCTAAATGCTAGCATGTGTGTTGTTTGTACCTTCTGATTGGTTGATGATAACTTGTGTTATTCATCGTTGTTGTTGTTGGGTTGTGACTCATTCCTTGATTGAGTGTGTTTCATACCTTCGTTGTGATCCGTTGATTGATTCCTGTTGAGGTGTGGTGTGTGTGGCTTTACCTGGATTGCACGATTAGTGGTATGGGACACTAGTCACCAAGGTATTGCAGCGGTCCTCGTGGTGGCCGTGATGTGATTATGGAGTTGTGACCTGTGTGTCAAGTTCACGTATTTTCTTGGGAAGGCGTGTGTCGCCGTGTGTGTGTACGGTACCTTGTGTACTATGAAATTGGTGGTCTCGTTGGTGGTCGTTGGTGGGGGACGGCGGCCTCGGAGGGAAAAGGTTGGACTAAGAAGTACAGGGGTCCTGGAGGTAATGGTTGGAAAGAAGAAACAAGGTTGGGGGTAGCCATAAGGTTGGAACAGGGCATAAGGCAGGCATACCAACTCGTGATGGGTGATGTCGCGAGGGCTATTGTAGCCGGTGTTGTATGTTCTTCTCTTGTGACGTGTGTAGTCACGGAGGCATGTGTTGTCGGGTGTGTAAGTCTTATTTCTTTTGCGTTGTACTTGTCGGGTTTTGATCTATTGAGTGATGATAGATCATGCCTTGACTCTTTTGTGAGTCGTGTTGTTCTTGTGGTCTTGGGATGTGTTCCCGTGTTGTTTGTTGAGAGTGTTGAGTCTTATGTTGGCTATTGATCTTGGTTTTTGACTTATATATATGTATTCCGTTTCGAAAATGGCTTTACAACTTATATCTTACCTATTTATGTTATTTCACATGTATTGGTGGATTACCAGCATTATTCGCTGATCGGGCGTCGTCCCATGTTTATCTTTGTGATCTTTCAGGTGATGTCTAGACGAGCGCGATGTCTAGTGCCCGATAGTGTAGCTCCTTTCGTTTGTCTTACGGCCTGTGAACCAGTTTAGCTTTAGACTATGAGTTTTTGGATAGTTGTATACCATGCAGATTTGGCCGTAGCGTTTATCGTGTTGATAAGCGTGGCATAACACCCCAGTTTTTGGATTTTATGTTATCCAGTTACCCTTTTATCTTCCGTTGTGCTAGTGTTTTATTATGGTATCTGCATGCGTTAAGGCTTTTATTATAGCTTGTTTTGTGGGGGTGTTACAGTGCATACCCAATAAAGAAAGCACTTATAGTCCTCGGGTCAAGTTTCTTTTCATGTGGGTTATAAATCCTCACCTCAGACGGACAACCCCAAACACGCATATGATGCAAACTCGATTTCCAACCTTTGAAAAAAATGCACAGGCGATTTGACCGTTCCCATTTAGCCCAAAGGTCTTTGGCTTCTTGAGTGCTTGTCGCGTTTATAGCCGGGGGCTCTGGATGGTTAATAGCATAATCCATCTCATTCATGCCAAAGTAGATCAGGAGTGCATCATTCCACTCTCTATGATTATTAGGAGTAAGCATTGGAACATGAATGGGTGAGACAGTTGGGATAGTTGCTGAAAGGAAATTATGAGTTTGTTAGTTTTGATTTTCGAGGCACAAAAGAACTAAAGTGCATATTTTGCCAATGCAAACTTATGCAAAAGATAAATTCAAATGCCATAAAAATTGCATGTGGGCTAAATTTTTACGCATAATGAATTTACCAAAAGTGAATGGTGAAAACCAGAATGGGTACGGTTTGGGTTTTTCCACCCTTGATGACAAAACTACCAAAACCATATGCCGATACATAATCCCCGTGGGCAAATTATGATCATAGTCTGGCATTTCATCCTAATCAATCCTACAAATACAACAAAATTGCGTGTGGGCTAAATTTTGTCATATCATATAGAATTAATTACAAGGATATTGCCAACTCTTTATGTGAGTTAATCTAAATACAATTTAAGCAATTAAAGATGCTGTGACTACTCTTTAATTACAAAATTGTAATCACTTGGCAAAGGGTAATTTAAAGCCTAGCAAACAAATTAAACCAAAACATGATAGACAATCTTTAGGTATACTCCCAGGAAAGTTGGTCAAGACGAAGCTCGGTTAAATACCAACTCCTTAGACAGAGTAGCGTTGCAAGGGGACTAGTAGCAACAAGGCTTTTAAGCCAGGGCCATAGAACTAGTATACTTCCCCAAGAAACTTCACTAAGTCATGTATTCTCATATTTGAAGTAAAATTGTTTGAAAGATCTATAAGATGGTTATACACCTATGGATAAGGCTTTAAATTTGGGTAAACTAGAACTTTGATGTACTTTATGTGCTTTATAGCTTTAGAAAGGCACGAGCGGAGCAATAACTGAATGAGTAAAATAATATGTTTAATCTATCCTTAAAAGACACTAAATTCACCTAAAAGGCACTATAACATGCGTAATAGGCATATAATTCAAACCTAAAAGACACTAAATTCATACTTAAAAGAACATGCTTTTCTAACATATGCATAATTATAACAACCAAATAATTAATGCAATAAACAGTAAAACATGCTCAGATTATGCATATTATAACTCATGCTCCACAATTAAATTGTAATACTGAATACAACTTAAACTGAAATTCAATATTAAATTAAAATTCAAACAAATTGAAACATAATAATTTGTTCAAAATAATTATAATTTAATATCAACTTTAGGCAAAAAAAAAAAAAAAAAAAAAAAAAAAAAAATCAATTGGATAAAATCCATAAGAAGAAGCCAAATATGATGAATAAAAAAATTTCAAGAAGCCCAAATGAGCACAGGCCCAGAACTAAAGAATTTTTTTTTAATGGAGCCCAGGTCTGGCCGAATTGGGCCAGACCCAGCCCATGACATAATAATCATCATCTTCTTCATCTGCTATGCAAGCGAAAGCAGAGATGCAGAACAGAAATAGAAGCAGCAACGGAGAAGCCGGGAGGTCCCGACTCCGCCACCACCGCCGGACCGCTCGCGAACCGCCGCCCCGCCATGCCCCTGTCTCCGCCGCCGGCCACCACCGATCCCTTGAAGGAGGAGACAGCTGTGGCGTCACCACCGGGAAAAACCTAGTTCCGCCACCACCGCCGTCCTCTGCGGACAGTCAGTCAGAAAGAAAAAAAAGAGAGGAAAATGACCGGAGAAAGAAAATTTCGGCCCCTTTCCTCCCTCAATAATGGTCTACCGGTAAGCTTAAGATTCCGGCGAACCAAATTCGGCGAATGAACAGTGGGCAGTAGCAGAAAAAAAAAAATTGAATTCTAAATGCGGAAAAGGTTTACACAAATATTTCCAGCAGCCCAACAAACATAATTGCACATTACATACAAATCCTAAATTATACAAATGGTATATCATATGTAAACAAGCTGTATTATGCAATTAATCAAAAGGCTAGGCAGAGATAAAAAATGGCACTGATACCAAATGTAAGAACATTGATCCACGTAGAGCATACTATATATGTGGCAATAAATAAAAGTTAGGTCCACTAACCTCCCGCCATAGCTTATGTTCTTGATAGAACCTTGATCGCCTGGACTCGTAGTCTGACGGGCGGGAGTTCCTCGGGCTGCTGTAAAATCACCGTAGATTTGGTTGTGTTTCTCTCACTTCTCTCAGTGACTCTAGATGGTGTATGATACGTCAACTGAGCAGTGAGAGGACTTGGGAGTCTAAATAACCTACATCCCATCAATGTAGGTAACTAATTACCTAATGCTGACTAAGTTCTAATACTTAGTCAGCCTATTGATTTGCACCACTTATTTAATATTATTATTGTTATAATAATCTTAATAATAATAATAATATTAAAGGGAAAACGTTACATTCCATATAGTAATGGTACATTATTTCTTGAAATATATTAATATCACTGTTTTTCCAGTTCATTTGCCTCCAAATAAAATATGTTCCTGGAAGATTTAGCCTATCATTGGCTCCTGCAATATTTATATATACATTACTTCAGTCCCATGTGGTTTATACTGTAAATATTGATGGGAAGTTATCGGCCGTATGTTTAATGGTTTGAGGTGGTGCTATACATGGTGTCAAACAGTGTTACATTTCGCTTAGTAGACTATCATGTTTCAGTTGTGAATTTTGAGGTGCTTTATAAACTCAAAAAGGCACTGCATGGTCTTTAAAAATCAAAGGTTGGTTGTGCACCCCCTGCATGGTGCAGCAAAGCTTTACAAGCTTTGAAAGAAGCTATACTTGATAAGGAAATGGTTTTCATACACGCCTGCTGAAGTATTTAATTCTTGACTAGTATAAGGAACTTTATCTTTTTTCCTCATTGAAAGTGACCAACTAGATTGGGAGGCTTCACCAGTCCTCTCTGCTAAAAACGAAATGGAAAAAATGTGTAGAGAATTTGTTAAATGCATGTCTTCATGATACTGAATCTGCTTAACTTGTTATCATGCACCTTTGTTTAGCATATAAGTCTGTCTATTATTTATAACTTCAATTTGTGTCAGGTTTGTTACCTCAGCTCGTTAATTGGCCAAAGCTTTAGAAGTTCCATTGGTAAATGATTTGGGATATACGAAGAGATATGTTCGTTGCCTTCAGGTATTCTCCTTATTCTTACATATTATTTTACACATTATTTTAAGCTTCATTTGCTGCTTGTTATCTTTTCTTGATGTGGCTTGTATCTCCTATTGAAGAGTTGCTATTTTGCTCTCTTATTTTTCATATCAAGCTCTTTTATATGATTTACAGAGTAACTTGTGACAATATTTATTGAGGCACTTGTATTTTGTAAAATATCCAAGCTTGTCTTGTCTTGTCTTTTGTAAAATATTCAAGATAGAAAAATATTGAGATCTCCCCCAAATATAAACACACATGAACTTGATACTAGTTTATAGGATAACTGGGAGATTTGGGACCCAAACTGAAGAGATCTTGATGTTTTCTCCAATTATATTCTCTGGTGGATGATGCTTTTGGAGTTTTGGTGTCATGATGATTGCTATATTTGTGCACCATTAGATAGACTTTTCTTATTTCCTTCTACTCAGATGATATCAAGCAAAAATGGTAATTATGTCTTTCTTTGGTGCTTAATAGATATCAGAAGTAGTTAACAGCATGAAAGATTTGATTGACTATAGCAGAAATACCGGAACAGGACCTATGGGTAAGCTATGTTTACACTTCACATTTCTATATTGCATACAGATCTTGAAAATTGAGTGAGGTTGGATGCAATTTTTTCCTGTTGTTTGATGTCTAGTTTGTTATTCTTCAACATTAATGTAAAATTTCATCAATAAGGTGCAACAAGGCTTTACTGTTGTCTTGATTTGTAGCACACAAAGTCTAGGCTTGTGGCATTACATAATGAATTTTAATTGAATGGTGGATATATTCACAAAGTCTAGGCTTGTATATTGAAGGGCAAATATATTACTAAAACAGCTATTAGTAACGCACCAATGGTGGATTTCAGTTGTGTTACAACTTTTGTTACTTGCTATTGCCTTTGAATAATCGCTCCCTGTTAGGCATATTCACATGATCTACGCCTCTACCTTGTTCATTTTCTTGAAATTGTGGCTATTTTTTTTTCCTTCTCAAAGAGCTTGGCGAAGTTTCCTCGGAGGACCAATGCATCATCTGGCATTCACAATCAAGGTCAATATCTTGAACAATATCCATCCCGTGCATCGCACGAGGACTATACTAGTTAAAGAAAACCCAATAACTAAAGTAGACCCAGGATTTTTTTTTAATAATATTGGACCAGGTCTGTCCCAATGAGCCTGACCCGGCCCAAAATTCAATCCATCATCATCTTCCTCAAATTAGAGAATCAGCGACGAATCTGGAGAAGGAAGGTTGGGTTGAATCGGAGTCATGAGGTTGGTATCACTTTTCTTCTTTTTCCTCGTGATTGTTGTGCAATCGTAGCAAAATGTGAATCCCCCCGGATCACAATCCCCGCCATTGTCTACTCCTCCTCCCCCGCCTAAATCGTCCACCCCCGGTCGCGCAATGCGCGTGCTATGTGCGTGCAATGCGCGTGCATCTCCCTCAGCTCATCCATCGCCTCCTGCATCACTAATACTATTAGCCCTCATAAGACGTTGTGTGAACGACTAGGCTTTTGCAATTTGCAGTGTTGTACCTTTTGGATTGAGTAAGACTTATGTTAATGGACTTTGATGCTACTAATTATGCATGTTTTTATGGTCTTATTTTATGGCACTTGCAACAACTTATAATATTAGATATAAAATTGTGATAATAGAAAAACTTATCTCTTTTCTAAGCTTTTGGCAAAACTTTGAAACCCTTCTGTGTAGACAGAACAATAGCTTCGAATCATAGAAAACTGCAATAAAATAAACAAATATGAAATAAACCATAAGATACATGTCTACGAACATTAACCTACGCAAATAATCGTAGAAATTATAGGTAATCTATTAAAAACACTAAAAATTGAATATATATGACAACTTATCTGAAAGCAACGTGAAATCCGAAGCTATTCGAGCTATAAGCACCAATTTCGAATAATTCACTTCTTCAAAACCTTCGCTGATAGATCTCGGACCACAATCGGGCATGAGATAAAGGATTCGTATAAACCCTAGACTCAGATTCAATTCCCCCAACCATTGCATGTCGAAAATTTGTTCCCAAAACCTAATTATCTTCATCGTGAAGGTGCTTAATCGAATCCAAACAGATCGATGACTACAAGAACCTCGATTGTTTTTATATAAATGAAAAAGCAAGAAAAAGTGTGTAGTACGACAATCTTACACTCAGATTCCCAGATTCCAGCCGGAGCTGTAAGCTTTCTATCGCGAAAGAGAGCGAGGGTTTCTTCACAGTGCATATCTTTGAGAAATAGGAATTGTGTGAAAATGGCGAACATTCTCATAGATCACACCCATATAGACGCAGCAGATAAGCTCAACAAAGAAGCACACCTGTGAAACCGACTCATATCGGTCTTAGGTTTTAGAGAGATAGAAATTTTAAGAAAATGGCAGAGATGATGCATCCACAGACACGATGAGGACTGCAGATAAGGTCAACAAAGACCAAATTTCCTTAACCAAAAGTAGTAGGCATGGTTTCCTAAATCACGCCTTAGTTAAGTATATTAAGATTAGGATTATCATACGTATAACATTTATAATATTTATAAGATTATAATAACTTATTCAAATTATTAATAATAGGATTATCAATTTTATATAAACTGTCATATTCCACTTTACATTAATCAAATACTTTTATTATAATATTTATAATATTTATTATATGGTATGACTTTAAAGTTTTATAATTATTCCACATGTTCATTAGTGGTTATTTACATAAGGTTGAATATATAAGATAATATTCTTTTAAGTGCGTCTTTTTATCAAATCATAGTTTATGTTGTTACTATTTGGTTTCATTTGTTATGAACACTATAAATTTATTTATGAAGGACTGTTTGTAACATTCATGGCATTATATGCAAAGAATGAACATTTTACATCTAATGAAGATGCTGAATCATCGTTAACAAATCAAGCAACAGTCTAATTGTACACAAATATTCGTTGTCTTTCATAATACACTTGGTACACCTTTGAGTGTTGTTACATATGGTGAGCAAGTCTTTTTGTTTTCAATTAATATGGTTAAAGTAAATTTATATAGTCCATTTAAATTATAACAGTATAAATAATTATATTTTTGTACCAGGACTATGTGGTCTAATGGTACCCGGGTTGGACTTTCATTTGGAAGGTTGTGAGTTTGAGCCTCAGTAGAGGCGTTATTGGTTCTTTGTGAAAGTATATGAACAAATACTACAATGTAATAGAGCAGCATTCAAAAAAAAAATTATATTTTCGTATTTTGGTTTCCAGGGTCTACCACTCGAAGAACAACAATGTCTAACACCTTGGGTCAAACAAGCAATTACAGACAACCTTTAAGAAATATTTCAAATTGTTGGTATTGTAGTATTAATATAAACAATTGTCCTAACACTAAATCCCCAATTCTTATTTATTGGTACTGTAATAACTAAATTTAATTGATGACAATTCTTATACCATGAAATCTTCAATAATTTGTAATTGTGTGCTGAACGGGATTTTTTTATATTGTGTGTTAATGTATTTTCATTATTATTTCTATTTTGTAATTCTGAAATTTTAATTTAATAATGTATTCAATTATTCACACAATTAGACAATATCTTGAACAATATCCATCACGTGCATCGCACGGGGACTATACTAGTTAAAGAAAACCAAATAACTAAAGTAGACCCAGGATTTTTTTTTAATAATATTGAACCAGGTCTGTCCTAATGAGCCTGACCCGGCCCAAAATTCAATCCATCATCATCTTCCTCAAATTAGAGAATCAGCGACGAATCTGGAGAAGGAAGGTTGGGTTGAATCGGAGTCATGAGGTTGGTATCACTTTTCTTCTTTTTCCTCGCGATTGTCGTGCAATCGCAGCAAAATGTGAATCCCCCCGGATCACAATCCCCGCCATTGTCTACTCCTCCTCCCCCACCTAAATCGTCCACCCCCGGTCATGCAATGCTCGTGCTATGTGCGTGCAATGCGCGTGCATCTTCCTCAGCTCATCCATCGCCTCCTGCATCACTAATACTATTAGCCCTCATAAGACGCCGTGTGAACGACTAGGCTTTTGCAATTTGCAGTGTTGTACCTTTTGGACTGAGTAAGACTTATGTTAATGGACTTTGATGCTACTAATGATACATGTTTTTATGGTCTTATTTTATGGCACTTGCAACAACTTTTTTTCCAGTTAATGTTTCAGAGTTTCAAACATCTCTAATTCTAATTACAAGACGTTTAATGTACACAAATGTTACCATCAAACTGTCGGTCCAAATTACAGCTGCTTT